ATCTATTTTTGGCTAGTAAAATGAGACTAAGAACTGTGCAGACATTTTAAGGCAATTGACTTCTCACTGCCCTCACTCCTGGCTCTTTGGTTGAGCCAGCAGGCATTGGTGTGACTTCTCTTGCTCATCAAGTAAGTTTCAAAACAAAGCAAACCCCACAACACAAACCTCCCTATAAAAACAACCTACTTCTTGAATCCCAAGGGCAGGGAAACAAAGGTTTTCCAATGGTGGAGACTGTTACTATTTCCTGATGGCAGTGTTAGTTTGCCAAGTGCTGTTAAAGGCAGTAGAGAAAAATACACTGTCAAGGACATGTGCTCATTAGCCCTTCATATGTTAAACTTCCTTACTTTTTCAGTGGGCCTGAGTGCTGGGGATTTTTTGTTTTTACCTGAAAGCATGCTGAAGACACACTCTAGATGAGTGCCAAGTCCTAGAAAGGTACATTTATTAGCTTTTTCCATTCTCTGCTTCAGCATGCCTGTCCCATGCAGACATAGCAGCCCTGCTCCTGTGGTGACAGAACACTGCAGGTTAGAAGGTTCCCTGAATGCTAGTGCACACAGCAGAGCTTACTGACCCTAGACATGCATGGATAGCTCTGGAAGCTGTTTCTCTTTTACTATTTGCCCTTCCCTCTCCCAACCGCTAGGAAAATGAAACCAGTAAGTATGATTATTCATTCTAGATAACTTCAAGATGTTTATCGCTGTTGTAAGTAAGGGCTAAGGCAAGATAATTAACATGAAGACAGGAATAGAAACTATATGTTGATAGCAAAAGATCAGCAAGTACACATAGTGGGAGTACAGGGACTACATAAAGAGCACCCTCCAAGGGCAAGTGTATAAGTTCACCAAGTATGAGAGAAAAGAATGGACTGTATTATTCTGACTTACAGCTTGTAGGTGATCATTTTGTGAGCTTACAGTATTACCAACACATTTATTTTCCTTTTAATTTTCTTCCTCAGCTTGTTAGCTTTGCTATTAATGTGGTTATCAGCAATGAACAGTGATTTTTGTGACTTGCCTTTTTTTTTTCCTACTTCTGGGGTCTAATTTTCTCTTCTGTACCTTACCTGTTTTACTACATATGGAGATTAAATTATAAAACTATTGATGCCACTCAATCATATTGTGTTCCCACTATTCCATATGCTCATTTGACTCTTTCTTTCTCCTTTCACCTCCAAAAGTAATCAAAAAGTGGTCTCTTAAATTTCTCTGCCTAGGGTGTGCTACTAGTGGAGGTTGTCAGGTGCTATTAATGTTAAGGAGTACTTTAGGTCTTCATTGAGCATCTTGTCTGCAGTTTTTAAACTCAACTTAAAACTTGGGCCCTAGAATCTGTACCTTTCAAGGGAAAGGTGAAAGCTGAGAAAGCAGGGCTGATTGTGTTATCATGTCATACCGTTCTTACCCATTTGGTTTTCCCTGATTCTTATTGCCCAAAGTACCGCAGCATCCTGTTGGACTGACGAAGTTTGTGTTCTTTAGTATCAGACATTATTTGGTATCTGGATGACAGCATATATCTTTAAGCAGGTGATCTTCTTGCCCTTGTTCTCTTTCTGGAGGTCACTAGGGAGTCTCAAAGAGAAGACAGAAAGCAGCAAACTCTGAAGGCAAGGGAGAGGAAAAATGGCACTCTGATAGTATCAGAACATCAAATCCAGAAGTTGTGATAGTCTTGCTGTGTTCTTGTTCCAGACAGTTCCTTAGCGTGTGGTTAACAAATGTTACAGGACCCGAACACCACAGAACAAACATTGCAACACTGTCAGGATTTTGTAATGATGGTTTTGTAACTTTGACTCTTGGTTTCTACAGCAGAGCTCAGGGATCTCAACATAATGGTGCTGCCTTAAATAACACTTCATTAAATGAAGCAGGGGTAGTGAGAATTTTTTTTTTCTTTGAGGAAGTATTTCTGTTTGTTTTTAATAATTCAAGGTAGTTTATTTGATCCACTAATTGACACACTGTAGACTGCATAGCAGTAAGGATATTAGACCACTTCAAAGTGATCCCCCCCCCGAATACTAGTTCTCAGTTTATTCTGTGTTGTGATGGCATGTTAGTATGCAACCATCTTTCTTTTTTTTTTTTTTTTCCCCAAGTTGTTTCTTTAAGAGTGACTAGTGACACAACCTTACCAAAAAATTATGATGATAGTGGTAAAATGGAACAGACTAGGACTGGTTTCCTTTCTTTGTCTTTTTAAACAGGCAAAGGAAAAACCTAGTGTGTATCCATAGAAGACTCAACATTTGTTTTAAATCTGGAGAACACAGTGTAAAAACAGTTGTTTTGTGAGGTGTTAAATGTTCTTAAAAGTCGTTGGTTTGTTTACAGCTAACACACTAATACAGCAGGCTATAGTCCTGTTTTAGATGGCAAAGTTATATTTGAAAGATGGCTGTAGTAAGACTTGTAAAGTCATTTTCCTTGGGTCTCAGTAATGTGTAGGTGGCCTTGAGGATAGCAGTCAGAGGTATTTTTATTGTCTTAACTTTTCATGGGATCTGGTCATAAAAATGTAAGCCTAGAGTTAAAAAGGGATGCCTGTCCTACTTAAAGCTGTGGAGTCCAAAATAGGGCTTTTCAAGACTTTTACAGTCACTGGACTGCTAGGAAGCTTTGACATGCTTAGCTGTATAAAGGTCTGCAGCTAGGTTGCCAAAGGCCTCATTCTGTTGAGCAGCTCAAACTGCCTCCTGTGTAGGCCCTATGAGGCTCTACAAAGTAAATATTCTTTCCACCTGTCACCCACAGAGATGCTGCAGACACCTCGGTAGCCTCAGAGTATGCCGAAGGACTCTGACTCAGTAGCTAGTTAAAGGGAGGACCTTCTTTACTTTCTTATCAGTAGCTATAGCATTCACCTAAGATGTGGAAAGCCTGTTTTCCTTTTATGCTCAGGTGATTCATGACCATATTTTCCAGGTGAGCATCCTGACTGCTGGTCTATGGAGTCATGCTTGGTGCTTCCACTTCCGAAGTCTTTGAGACACTTGACGACCTAATTCCAGGGCAAGGGTAGGATTCAAGACATACTCGGCGTGATTTTCTGTGTGAGCTCAGGTGGTTCGCTGCTTGGCGTGATGGCTGTTTATGAATCCTCTTCTTAAGTATCTGTGTTTCTGGGTACAGGTCATGAGCTTGGGAACTGAGACGTGTTCTCACTGTATGTGTGCCCAGCCCAGATCTCAGCAGTGTTGAGTGGCTGGATAGCCACTGCATCCCATCTTCCTGGGAGCTCTGGGAGAGGAAAGGAGCTGCTGTTTCTTCCTGTCTTTCTGTCCTTCAGGCACCCAGTATGTTAGGTGCTCCTGGAGCACTGGAGGCTTGTTATTTTTTTTCTATTACTTTCTTTTGGAGTTAAGTTTAATCTCACTGACAGTGTCTACATCAATTGTTCAGTTGTACTTCAGAGCACCTTCTCTTTTCCTGAGCTGAGCTTATTTTTAGGTGAGGGCTTCTAAGGAAAGGTACTAGGGGGTTGGTCTGAGTAGTCTTTCATGCTAAGGTAACTTTACAATAGCAGAGTTTGACTACTGAATGGGGATTTTAGCCTGTGGCGCAAAAAGCATCCTTAACTTTAAGCAAGAAGGTAGATTCCATGGAAGTAGTGAAGACTATTCATTTGAATAGTTATATGTGATGAAATATTTATGAAATGAGGTTTTAAACTTACGACTGTCTATTGTTTGCAAGTATTTCGAAAACTTGGTGCTTCTGTCGTAGCCGCATGTTATAGTAAAGTGAGCTAAATGCACTTACGATTTTGACTTCATTGTAAATTTTGATCTGAAGCTGCATAGGAGAGTTTCAAACAGCTTATAAAACTTAAGTTTAAACTTAATGAATTACTTTAAATGTTAATGATTTTTTTTTAAAATGATTCTGGATTTAAAAAAACAAACAAAACCCTGCATAAAGGCAAACCTAAAAAACCTCACCCCAAAACCCAATAAAACCCAAAAAAATCCCACCATCCAAAGCCCCATGTCCTGTGCTACTTTTTTTGGAAATGTTCTGAACCTGGGATACAAATAAACCAGAAAGTGTCAGAACGTAGGTTTTGTATCTCATCACTGCTGTTGGTAGTTCAGGTTGTCTCTTAAAACCCTGCCAGCGGATTCTGATGAAGCTCCTGTTAAAATAAAATAAACAAAACAAAACAAACCCACCCCTCAAAAAAACCCAAACAAAAACACCCTCAAAAAAATTCTCACAACACCCAAAAAACCCCCTAAACCAACAAAAAAATCCCCCAACCTTCCCAGAACAAAAGTCCTCAACAGTTCATAGGGCTCTGAAAGACTTTTTAGATGAAGTGAGAATGGTGATTAGTCCATGTAGTTGCTTTGAAGAAGGCTTCAAAATGAATTCTCACTGTAATGGGGGGGAAGTATTTTCCCAAATCAATTCCTCCTAATCTCTGAATTTCAGTCCATGTATTTTTTCCACAAAATTTCCAAAAGCTATTGACCCTGAGGGATTTGTTTTCTGTTCCGAAGTCTTGAAATTTTCCTTCTGGCTAATTACAGCCTATTACTCCAGACTTTGGTCCTTTAGCAGTAACATTTTCCATCTTAAGATGGGTTGTCCCATTCCAGTGAAGAGCATGTTGTCTGAGCACTGAATGGAATTACTACCAGTGGAAACTATGCTGCAAGAGGCTTGATAAAGCAGCTGCTGTGCAAACCTCAGCTGTTTTTTCCATCCTCCGGAGCGCTGGTAATTAGCATAGGGAAGCTGACTAATGTGCTGACGTCACCTCTTTCCAGTCGCAGCTTACATTTTGTTCCTGACTGCCTGAAAGCATGCAGGACTTTGTTCAGGAATTCGCTGTCACATACAGGATGCTCTAAAACCTTTCTTTTTTTTTTTTTTTTTCTTTTTTTTTTCTCTCTGAGGGGCTGGACTTGTTTCCCTTATAAACGCTGCCTGCAGGACCGACGGCTTCTTTAAAAGTCATTGGTTTCTGCGGAACAGCAAGTGTCGCTTTGGCGAAGCACAAAATGCATTTTAGAAATTTTAACTACAGTTTTAGTTCTCTGATTGCCTGTGTGGCAGATAGCGATGTCTTCAATCAAGCAGAAACAAGGGTATGCTTTATCTTGTGTGTTTTAGTTCTGTGAACTACTGGAATACTAAAGTATGTAAGTGCTGTTTCAGGTTATTTAACATAAGCCTTGATAGCTTTTTTGACTTGTAAGAAAATTTCAGTTTGATGCAGGGGTCTTGGGTCTTCCAAGCCTGCAACAGTATGCTCTGATAGGAATGACTCTAACTCTGGAAATTACTAGATCTTAAGCTATGTGTTTTTGAAAATGATCAGAAGTTTACCTCCGTACTTCCTTGACTGTATAGTGTATTTGTCACTTGCATATGTGTTTTCAGCAAATGTTTCAGATCTAATTTTGATAGTAAGATTCACATAACTTACAGTATGCTTTATACTTTTCATGGGCATTTTTGGCTGGCATTGTAGTTAAGAGCATAATGTTGAAACTGTAAGAAGTCCTCTCAGATTTATATTTAACTGATTAGAATTAATATAATGTAGGTAATCCAGTCCTGATACAGTGAATTGTAGACTGCTAAGATACCTTAAGGACAAAAATAGCATTTTGTTTAGTGTTGTATTGCTAGCATGACATTTATGACCTCTATAATCACATACATTTAAGAAAACCTGTATATATCTTGCACAAATCTTGCAGGTACTCTCTGAGTTTAAATGTTGAATGTGAACTTTGAAATGTGATTTAGCATGGGTTTGGCTTACTTTTCATGGTTGCATCCAGCTCTCTCTGGAGTACAGGAGGCTAACAAATCCAGGCTTTGCGTGCGGAGGGTCCTGGTCTTGTTTCAGAGCTCATTTTGAAAAAGCTTAAGTGTGGCTCGGCAAGAAGCAGGACAGCTCTGATTTTAAAATACCTTTGAGATATAGTGGTTCTGTACACAGCTGTGGCGAGTGTGTAAAGCAGAGCTTTTCAGGAAGGAAGATGAAATTTTGAAGTAATCACTGTTGTCTTATGTAACCTTTGTTGCTTTTTTGTACAAATTCAAAATGTAACAGTAAAAAAAGAGGCAATGTGATTTTACATATTTGTTTATTTTGGCTTTGTATTAAACTTCTAGTAAGCTTTTATGAAGAGAAAATACTTGAAATCTGAATGCTTGATCTATTACTATCACTGAAAGGTTATATTGTGTTCTTAATCTGAGCCTGAAACACTTTGCAAGAGTGTGGCAGCTTCAAAACCTCCTGCTTCTTTCTCCTCCTTTGGTCTGATGTCCTGAAGTAAGAGTGGAAGCACTCTTCATATAAATGATATGAAAAATAGTCAAGTCAGGTTTGCATAGATGCTCTATGTGCAAAATGGAGACAGCCAGCTGTTGGTAAAGGTGCTTCAGCCTTTTCACACAGATAGGACGACAGAGTAACTCAGCTCCAGATCTATGAAGGTGTGAGGGTTTGGTCCAGTTCCTACTGTTACCACATGATCGAAACAGAAAGTGTGTCAAAGGCCCTTCAGGAGCTGTATGGTTAGTACATAAGATTTTTTAGGAAAGATAGTGGGAGTCTTTTTAGAATTAGGTTCCAGAAATAGAAGAGGCTATTAAACTAGAGGTCAGTAATGAGATGTTCATTTTCCTAAATGAAAGTAGCAGCTATTAAAATAGGAGATGTTCATGAACTTTATTATGTATGCTGAGTCACTGAAGAAAATTACATTTAGCTTGCAAATATGCTTTTTCCAGTTTTCTCTGTTAAAACTATTGTGTTGGTTTCCCTGAAAATTGCTCACTTGCACAAAGGCATGCTCAGCAGACTTTTTTCAAGGCCTTTGGATATTAATTTTTTAAGACAAGCATTTATTTTCGATATCTTACCAGTACTACTATTTATATGATGTCACTAAATCAGAGTATCATGCCCAACAGTTATTAATGATAATAATCTATTTTTTTAATAAGGAAGAAAAAAGCTGCTATAAAGAAAACAAGTGATAGGTTAGAAAAAAATCATTTTTCTAACAGAGAGAAGAGGAATACTAAATCTAGGCTGTCCTAAATACATCAATATTTGAGTTGTAGTATGCCCCTACTAGTAACTGCAATTTATTTCTGTATTTATTTAGAGAAAATGTTGAGTGTTGCATATTCACTTTCTTCTCTGGTCCTTTCTTTTCAGGCCAAATTTGAATCGCTGTTTAGAACATACGACAGAGATATCACCTTTCAGTATTTTAAGAGCTTCAAAAGAGTACGAATAAACTTCAGTAACCCTTTATCTGCAGCAGATGCTAGAATCCAGTTGCACAAGACAGAGTTCCTTGGAAAGGAAATAAAACTGTATTTTGCTCAGGTAAGGTTTTTTTGTGGTTATCCTTACAATGTACTAGAGCATAACTTAACTCATGATAAGCTTCTGTAGGTCTTCAGTCATGCTAATGAACATGGTTATTTTTTTCAGTTTGATTAGGGAATCACAGGTTGTTCCAAAGCTACAGGTATTTGGAGTCTGTTGCATGTTTTGCCGATGTCTCCCTTTGTATTGTTTTGATAACCTTGGGGAAAGGGAGTAGATGATAGTAATCAGCACAGTCAAAGATAGAGTTTAATGGGCTGGGGGAAGCCAAGTGTGCTCTGCCAACAGTACGCACGCACGCACATGCTCGCTCAAGTACTATCGGAGGGAACCCAAAGTGTAAAGCTGCACGTTCAGGACTACCTGTTGATCCTGCTCTCACTACTGCAAATGGTTTCTTTAGCACACGTTTGCACTTGGAGATCACCATCAGTGCAGCTCTGTAGCTGGCTAGTGTCTGCTGCTAAAGATGTGAAACTCTCAGGTTCTAGTAATCTGGGTGCTTTTTGGTAGCTGCTGTGTATTTTCCTCCGTAAATTTAATGGGAAAATTAATCTATGTGTGTCTGTTTCAGATGTCCCTAGGGACAGTCCTGAAGGAGCCAGTTTATTTATATACCTTCTAGAATTCTCACCACTCTCACTCGTGGTAATGAGTTTCAACACCATTTGTCATTAGGCCTTAAAGCCCATATCCAGCTTTCTCCTACTTCAGTATTTTAAGGACAGATATGTTCTGGTGGAATTTTTGTAAAACTCCATAATGAGAAGATGCAGATGTGCATACTTCATTGCATGTTTCATCAGAGTTAATGAATGTGGTGGCTTGTCTGTATCCTGTATACTGGGTCTTTCATATAGCTCCCTTCAATAATATAGTTACATGCTGCCACCTTGAGTGCCTGTTACAGCATAACATCTATCCAAACCTTAAAATTCCTCATGAATGATGGATTCATTGATAACAGTGAAACAGCTTTGGCTTTTATGCTTTTTTCAGACTTTGCACATTGGAAGCTCACATTTGGCACCACCAAATCCAGACAAACAGTTTTTGATTTCACCTCCTGCCTCTCCACCTGTTGATTGGAAGCAAGTAGAAGATGCTACTCCAGTTATTAACTATGACCTTTTATATGCTATCTCCAAGTTAGGACCAGGTAAGGAGGAGTAGAAACTCTGGAATTTTGGTTGAGTAAAACACCTTTTAAACTTTCTGAATTTCTAGAACTTTTCAAATTAATTACTATCTACTAATTAAATTTGTAATACCAGAGAAAGTGTTAGTAAACAGCAGTTTTCATACACACATAGTAATTCCAAAGGGTCACTCGGAGGGCCCAGACCTCCACAATGTGGTCTTTTTTTGTGCTTTGTAGAGAGCATGAAAGTTGCTTCAATAAATTAACTTGTTCATCAGAATTTTCAAGAAGCAGCTTCCTAAAAATGAAGAGGCAATTGTGTAGTTAGATACCTTTTGAAGGGATGGGAAGGTCCTGTTTCAGACTAAGACAGTGAACCAGCTGACAGCTGTGTAGCTCTGTGCTAAAATTACCTCTACATCTGAGACAGTAGTATGTGTAGGTTGGAAACTGTCAGTATCAACCTAATTTTCCTTTGAAGTTAAGAGGGAGAAGTTTCTGCCACTCCTTGCTCTTTCTAGTTTTCATCTGCTGCAATGTATTCATTTACTGGAAACTTTGAGGTAGCTTCACCCTGGAAAGGAAAAAAGTTTATATTGGGTTCCTCTTTTTCCACCACTGTGCAAACTAAAGACGATACTAAGAATGTACACTTACCTCTTATTTCCAGTGCTGTCCCTAAGTTGCTTGTCGCTTCAGCTAACCACTCTGTGTAAACTGGTTATAGATCTATTTATTAAAAAATAAATAGCACCACAGATAAGAGAAACAGCTCTACCTGCTATTTGTGTTTTAACGCCAATACTACTTTCAGAAATAGGTGTAAATTTCCACTAAACTGAATTCTCATTTTAAACGTGGCTCTGCTTTTCAGTGGTTAGTGATCACATCCCTCCGTGTCATTTTATACCTCAGTTAAGACAACGTTCTTAATGAGAATTGGTGCAAATTATATTTCCCAAAATCTACAACTATGATTTAACTTTTTTGCAACTGTTCTATTAAGTTTAGAGGAAAGAAAAAATGGCTGCACTTATTAGCACTATCAAAGACAATAAAAACTGTAGTCCGAATCATTTTACTGTAGTATTTTTATATACCTGTTCACCCACCAGATTAGGGAACATTTAGCTCCTCGTGCATCATCTTTCTATGTAGTAGTTTATGGTTGACTGGATGCCAGTGATACCCAAAGATTCTAGTGAAAATAACGTGCACTTCAGAAACCACTACAGAATTCTTGTTACCTATGAAAATTCAGCCCTTTGGAGTTTGTGGAGGGGCAAAAATCTATGCTTATGCTGTCATAAAAATTGGGGTTTATTGCCCATTTTTAATAAATACTGTCTTTTAAATGGTGTGTGAATTAAGGGCAAGAACAATTTATAGGAAAGATATTATAGTTTGAAGTGGAGGTATAAAATTCTGACACAAATAATTTGTTTATCCCGAAATATGTAAACTAAATGTATGAGCCAGCATGTAGGTCTTTAAACCCATCCATCAAGAATACTGCTGAGGTACTAAATGTTTTTATCAAAGATTTTGTTTTCCTGAAATCAGTTTTCAAAAAGAAAAAAAAAGTCCCATAAAACTATGCTTGTCGGATACAAGTTGATTTTAATGAAACACATGAAATGGATAAATAAATTATGTTACAGCTTGCTGATTTTATGAAGGTTCAGAACTTGCTTCATGGGTGCTGCTTTCTTTACTACAAGCTTTCCTTTTAAGTTTTAGCAATACCGAAAAGAAACCTGTAGGTCTTAAAATAAATACTTGTGGGCTTAGTAAGCAGTAAAAGTTGGTCCTTTTTCTCCTGAAAGCTCTGTTGCTGAGATGCCTTGCTGTAAGCTCATTTTGCAGATCTGTAATCCTTTTTCCCATGAGATTTTTCATATATATTGTGAATGTTGAGCCCTATAAAGCTCTGCCTCTTGACTGTGATGTTCATTGGAACACAGAGTTAATGACTTGGTACTAAGGAGCAAGCAGATGTTACTGTAGCACAGTGGCTTGTGTGTTTCTGAAGAACTGGAGGCAAGAGCCTTTTTCTCTATGGAACTGCTCTTTGTGGCAGTTCTCCTTCCTAAATTTCTTCGGGAAACAGAGCAGAGACCAATTCAGAGCCTTGGCCCACTAGTGTCCTTGCCACAGCTGTTAGTTCTTTTGAACAGCTGATGTGCAGATCACTGTAGTAGTCTTGATGGAGAGTGTTCTCTCCACTGAGGGGTAAGGAGTATGAAGTAACAAGAAAAAAAAATTAAGGGGAGCTGATCA